TGCGCTGGGTGGTGGCAGCAGTCGGGAGATTTGTGGTGTTCCTTCCGCCACTGCCTTTGGAAACACCAGGAAAATACACAGTGTGGCATGCTGTTAAAATGGACGTGTGGTCAGATCGTACCTCAGCTGCCTCATCTGAGGCCGTGGTTGATCAGTGCCTTCCTTTATCCAAGAGGGTCACGCAGAAACTCCTTAGCGGGACTCTGCAAAGGGAAGATACGAGGCAGCGTCTTGATGACCCTGTACAGTCTTACGATTTCTAGTAGAAGGGATCCCTAGCCTACATCCTGCATTTAATATTTGCGGCAATTTACGGCAACTTTTCTAAAAGAATTAATCACTCTTCTTCTTCAATAAATTATTGTTAAATAAATCTTACTGCATCTCTCTGCTGCTGGTGGCACAGTTTCTTTATAAATGTATGTAAGAGAATTGATCAACCATTTGCAGATCTTAAGGGAACCCAGTACCTTGTAAAATGTCGTCAGATCTTGCCAGACTGAAATTTCTAATTTAATTGACCTTTAACATAATTAAAGTTGTGTTGTAATTTCATTTCTCAGAAGAAATGCTTTTGTGTCAGTGACATTTCAAGATAGATGTCTAAAGTGTAAAGGAGTCTCTGTCCCACAAATTACAGCTGTAATTGACTGCAGATGGATCTTCCTCCAGTTTTTCTTCTTGCAGCTGGAACATAGGACTATATTGGTTCCATTCTTAGTTTATCTAACAAATCAGGATTCATGAGGTTTGGCTGACACATGTTCCACTTTATCTCATCTACTTTAATCTTAGAGAACTGTTAACATTTCACCTGGCAAATTCCTCTCCCAGCCAAACCACCAGCAGGAAGCAACGAAACCTCGTGAATGAACCAGCTGGCGCAGCGACTTCAGGCCAAGCGTGCAGACTCACGGGGTTTTTGGCTCTCCTGGCTACGGATGTGTGTGTTTAATTGCCTCTCCAAGCCAGCACTCTCGAATACCCGAGGTTTTTTTGTCACTGCCCTTCAGTCACGTTTCTGTCCTTACCGCTTATTGTCAAGGTGACGTCTCCATCCCGTCTCATGTGCCTCTTTGGGATGCGGGGGCTCCGTTTACTGTTTCTAATTTACAAAATCTGCTGAGATTTGTTTCTGTCAGATACTGGCCCACAGTCTTCCCTAGTCTTTAGCTGATCAAGGAAATCCTTATTTACATAGAAATGACGCAAAGCAATTCATCAAGTATTTTAAAATTGGAGTGTCTAACTGGATGTTAGACACTGCTTTCCAGGTGTCGCTTCACATTCTGTAATTATTTCTGCAGCTGCCCTCCAAAAGTGCTCTGAGGATTTAAGGGCATCAAGAGGTAGTGTCTCAGCTCCACATATTTTTCCAATTATAAGAAAGCCTGAAGTGAAACAGAACTAACTTTACTGAAATTCTGTTTAAATCTAAAGGAAACAAACTCAGCTTGTCAAGCCTCATCCTTATGGGAGTCTGAATATTTTTCTACATGTGCACGTCTTTGTGTTATACCTCTGCTTGGCTGCGTGCAAAGTTCTTCAAAGGACGTAACCTTTCCGAGAGCTTTTGAGTCCAAGGACCCAGGGGTGTGTTCTCACAGGTTTATCCTCCCATCCATCCCCCTTCGCTTTGGGGGCCCACGGCTGAGCTCAGGTGGCTGTGACTTGCTTGGCTTTCTCAAGTTCTCCTGTTTGTTCTTGAGAACCTGATGTGGTTACAGCTGTCAGTCCAACGCAGCAGCCGTTGTGGCACAGAGGGCTTTTACACAGTCAGAGGATGCACAAAATATCACGATGTGGTTTTATTGTATCTGCTCCAGGGATGAGTTGTCTTCCCAGGTGTGGGTTTTAGCCTGTGCTGCCGTCCTGGTTTGAAAAGATCAGTTTGCTTTGTTCAAAGACAGCATAAAAATTAAAGTGTGACTACACTATGGCTGGAAAAGAGTAACCTGTATTTGGCTTAATGTTTCTATTTCACGCAGAACTTGTAGCTTCAGCACTGATAGGCTTCAAAGAGGATGTGGTTTATGTTCCTGCTATTCAAATGTCTCAAACCCAGTAACGGTCAATCTGTTTCTGTGCCTGGGTGTGAAATGTTAAACTGAAATTGGGTTTTCTTCGTGTTTGACAACTACGAGCAAGGATTAGTTTTACAAGGACGGGGCCGCAGCGGTGTTTCTTTGCAGCGGTGGTGGGTTGGGAGCATTGTTGTCAACGTTAGAGAGTCCGATGGCTCTGCCGTGCCCAGGCTCTGTGGGTGATGACAGCAGCCCGGCAGCTGCGAGCGCGGGGCTTTCCCCACAGAAACGGGGTGCCCAGCCACGCAGCTACATCATTTCATTTTGTATGCTTCGCTCATGGTCCTTCCTTTGAGAATAACAGCAAATCTCTCCATATCCCTGGGTTTTATTGTGTCCTTAACCATTTTCTTCACTTCCCTGAACCTCATCAAATTTTGTTGATCAGCACTACGCTATGTGAGGCAATCAACGTGAATACACCATAAGAGTTTTAGCTACGTCCTCTTCCCATCCTTACACGCTGCATCATCTTGCTCGCTGTTTTCATATACCTATCAGCCGTAATGGATCCCTTTCCTGAGATGACACAGTTAATTTAGCTTACTGCAGGTTCTATGAGTATCTTGGGGTTTTCCCTCCAAAAATTTAACTTACTCCTTTTTTGATGTTTTACTTCGTATTTTTGGTCTTCTGTTCTATGGATTATATTTCTCTGAATTTCCACACAATTTGGTCTGATCGTAACTAGACTGAATACGTAATATTTTACTGTTTCCTGCCTTCCAGCCCTACTTTGTACGTGATCTTGCAGAATTTTTGCTGATTTCTTTCCTGATTACCATTTGATTCTGTTCTTTGCCTTCTGTCCCATCCAGCATCAGAGTTATGCCAACTCTTTGTTTTTTAAACAATAGCCAAGTAATTTTTAGAAGCCTTTTGTTGAAAATCTCTGGAAGTGTGAGTGAACTCTTAGCAACAAACTTTCCTTTCTTCCAGTTCTCTTTATCGATGCATTCAAAGAATTCTAATGGGTTGCTGAGATCTGCTTTTCCTCTCCAGGCACTGATCAGACTGTGACCTTTCCAGCATCTTCTTATTCTTCTTGAACTGCAGTTTCAAACAAATTGAGAGACAAATGCAAGTTTACAAACATTCTTACTACTCTTTCAAAGTACAGATGTAACCTTTGCTTTCCAGGTCTTCGTATAACATGGGGGGGTGTTGCCTTTTAAGTGGTAATTCTGCTTGCTGTGGGACTCTGTCATCTTTTGTCATGTGCGTGTATCATCTGGGTATGATAATCTTCTCAGCAACTTTTAAATTACCGGTTTCTTACCATAGCTTTTTATTGTCATCGTTTTTAATGACATGTCAGAGTCTGATATTGCCTCATTTCTATTCTGTTTGCTTTCTATAAAAAACTTGCTCTTTTCATTTAATGTCCATGCCGCATGTGAGAATTTTACTTTTTACAATTTGTTGTTACTAATTCCATGCATTTTATTGAAATGTTGCTTTCTGATGCTTACTGCCACTGCTTTATTTTCGGGAGCTTCCCTTCTCTGAGGATACTGAGTGGGATCACACTGTGCCTATGGTTAATGAAGAGTTTAGCCTCATGTATTCCAGAACTAATTGATTCAGGAAGCAATAATTTAAATAGTTTACATGTGAATCTGTTTGTTATCCTTTATGGTAGGGGTTCTCCCCACCCTGGGATCACACATTCTTTTACTCTTTGTTTTGTTTCCTCGATCTTACAGCCAGCATTCCCGTCTGTACAAATTCACATGCAGATAGATGTATAGACCATGAATTTGCTACCTTAGGTTGTTTCTGTTTAAGTGGCTGTCCCCATACCCAGTCTCACAGATTTACCTTTAGAGTTCCTTGCAGGTGCAGCCGCATCTCTGTGAGGTTCTTGGCTATGCCCACAGTGTTCATTGTGTTACGGCCATCGGGCAATGTGAGGCACTCCAACTAACGTCATTTTGCTTTTCTCTTTTTGTACTGTTTCAGTCTCAGCAGCTAAACAGTTTTGACTCGCCCTAGTGTGCTGATTGCCTGGCTCTTTATACACGTACACGGGGTGGGTTAGCCTTGCTGCTGGCCAGTACAGAATATATTTGCCAAGACAATAGAGGCAAACCCGTAATTGTGGGGGACTGGGGCCGACTGGTTTCCTTGTCTGGCCAGGTGGCCATCACCCCAGTGCTGCCAGAGCAGAGTGTTTGAGCATCCTGTGCCAAACAGGTATGTTCAAGCTACGTGACCAGCTGCTATTTAATTCCCATCCCTGGTTTGTCGGTTGCACTGAGACCATTTAAGAGTCAAATCACCTGAAGGTAGAAGCCTTGCTTTAGGACTCCGTATGGCTAGGACTAGATTTCTTTAAGCGTCTAGGCTCATCCTCTGATAATATACGTTCATTTACTGGGATATCCTGTATGTTCCCATATTCCTTTTTAAAAAGGAGCGAGTGATAGACAAGTTCTACTTTCTTTGCCTGTCATGTCTCTTCCCACTCCTGCATAGGATTCAGATTTAATCTGATCAGAAACTGCTCTCAGGTGTCTGACCACAGGTCATCCCAGATGAAAACAACCATTGCTCTGTCGGTATTTCCGGTTAGATTTGAATTGAATAAACCTGCGTGAACCTGAAGCTTTTTCTCAAGTTGCAATGTCATTTGACAGCAGCTATTTACAAGATTCGCAAAAAAGAGATGGACGAGAGATGAAAAATCTGAAGTTGGTCATAGGAATTGCTGTTGGCTTTCAGAGGAAAACAGCTGCCTTGGTGGTGGGGAGGAAATAGAAATGATTCTTCATGCAGAAAGTAACATTTGCTAGAGGTGCGGTTTTCATGAGCCTCATGAGATGATCTGCAATGGTGAGGACTGGCTAATGTGCTGCTGGCAAATGTGTAAAGGTCAGATTATGTATATGGTGTGGTTTTTTTTTTTTCTTGTAGTTTCATCTAGACTGTCACAGACATCCTCCCCTCAGTCGGGCTGCCCGTCACCTTCCATCCAGACGGGGAAAGTCATCTCCTCATCCCAGAAGCACAGCAAGAAGGCACTCAAACAGGTAAGCAGCATAATCTGGAACCTGGTGTAGGGATCATTGCAGTAATTTTATTTCTCTGGTAAATCATCTGTCTCGGCGGTGAAACTGCAGGGAAGTAATTCAGGACTTCCTGGCTGCCTTACAGTGGCAGGGTTTTGCTAAAACATCCCTCTCTCTTAGAGGTGATTCAAAATACTGTGCTTTTTAGCTCTTTTGCTTTGTCCCTACATAAGCATCTGGACTGTTTTGAATTACCATTTTAGAGAATGGATATAAGATGTTATTTCTCTTCACCCAACCTTTTGATAAATGTGCTTAGCTTTCTACAGTCTGTTTTAGTGAGCGGAAGGTCTTTCGGGGAAAAGAATGCAATCCACGGACTGCTTCCCCCAGTTAGCAGCATACTTTCCCTTCCAAGAAACTCTGTGGGTGCAGTGTGTAAGTGTATATGGAGGGAAGAAGGGGAAGAAGAGCACACTGACTCTGCATTGCACCTCTGCTGGGTGTTGAGAGAAAGAGGAGGACTGAGTATTTTCCATGCTTGGGGACTGGGTGTTGGTAGATAGTGTTAATTGTGCGCACACAGGATGGAATGGGTAAGTGTTTCTACTTGAAATGATTTGTTTCTCCTAATGAAAAATGCAAGATGAATTAGTTCCCCAAGTGGCTTATTTGCAGGTGTTTCCCCAACTGCATTGTTTAGTTTTCCATGTCCTTAGAAAGGAAATGCTTGATCAGGGTTAGATTTACTCCTTAGTAAAGTAAAAATCTGCAAGGACTTATGAATCAAGTTGCAGAGGAGGTGCTAGTCCAAGGATTACGGAAGCTTGTCACAGACAGATGAAATCATGATGTGTTCCAGATAGGATTTACCTTTTCTAGCCCAGCCTGTTCTCCTGACATTTTCCAGCTGAGAAGCAATGCTCAGGATGGCATTCAGCTAACAGACATGCCTGTGGCCCTGGGAAAAGGATCTGCGGTGAGAGAGAAGGATCTAATTAGGGCATAGTACTGAGGAGAATATACAGGGTAAGATAAGGCAACTGGATAAACTGGAGCTTTGTTTCCAGCAAGAGAGGGTTGAGTTGATATCAAAATGAGATGCCAGCTTTAGGGACTCTTCTCTCTCTTTTCCCACTAGGCTGTTCTCGACAGAAGCGTCACTTGTTACTGTGATGTTGCTTGCTGCTGATAGCTGCAATAACAAAATGAGATTGTGTTGTCACTTTAGGCAGATTTTCTTCTGAAGTTGAGAGTCAAGCTTTCACTTTCATTTGAGTCTTCGGAAAATTGCTTCTCACTAATTCTGCAAGATATTAATTAACACTCTTTGCTTTCCCGTCCTCATCCTTCTTTAAGCCTGGCTGGCGATCATTTCTCTCCAACATCCACAAAGGCTTTCCTCTTTTAAGAGAGTGATCAAACAGGCTCAGGGTTTGTTAGAGATAGTCCTGCTTCCCTTCTCGTGCTCAGCAGTTCCTCTTCATTCTTCTCTGCTCTGTAGGCTCCTGTTCCACAGAATCACAGGTTGGAAGGGACCTCTTGGCAGACTCACACTCCATTTCCAGACCCACGCTCCATTTCCAGACCCATACTCCATCTACTTTACTCCTCTCTTTCTAGCCTCTGTCCTTACATACCTAATAATTTTCTGCTTTTCATCTCTGAATTCTCCATGCTCCTGCTCCCACCAGCCTTCCCCCACCTTTATATTCATTCCCCTCTCTCTCTGCTCTCTCCCTCCTCCACCCCCCAGCTTTCCTGTTCTGAGATGTCTGCTTCCCAGCATCCTTGTTCCAGCGCTGTCTCTGAATGTAATCAAATATGTCAGAGCTGGTGAGTTCCAGAATTGCGACAGTGTTCTCAGTTTCACTGATAATCTGATTGGTTTTGGGGAAAACCCTGAAAGAGAAATGGGGAACCACATGGAGGCCTTGATGTCTGCATAGCATACCTGTTTGTACACAACAGTTCTGCAGGGCAAAACGCTGTTTCTGATAGTGGTCACCTCCCATCACAACAGCTCTTCTCCCTGATCTCAACTCTTTTGTCCCGGAGTAGAGCGTCAAACTGTAGCATAATGAATTACTTGCCTTCTAGGCACACAGGGAAAAAAAAATATTGCCAAAGAACACTGTAACCATTCAGTCATTCTTTCTTACCTGCTGAAAGTGTGCTCCAGCTTTGGATCAAATTCAGAGCATTGCATGCCCAATCCATTGCTTAATTTTAGTTCCAGTGGAATTCTGCTGTTTTGACCAAATATCACATCTTCCACCTCTTCCTAAGAGTGGCTGCCACTGTGGTCAGGAAGAGTTATAAAAAGTAGATAGAATGAGCAAATACAGATAGCAGGAAGGAGACAGCAGTGTTATGAGTAGAGTAGTAGGAAAACCAGAAGATATTGAGGGAAACAACAATTAAAGAAAGCTTTCCTATTTTTAATTATGTCTGTGACCCAGATTACTTGCTAGCATGCACTGGAGAAGACAGCTGGCTGGATTCAGACCTCCTGTCTTAAGCGCTAAGTAATTATAATATTACTGGAGGGAAGAGAGAGCAGATTTTTACGTGAGAACTTTTAACCCTGGAACACCACGCTGCCACTATACTGGCGATAAGTATCAGGTCCTTTAAGAAATAACGATCAGAATTTAGCTCACAAACACATAGAGGTAAAATTGTAAAATACAGCTCAATAATATGGTGTGTAAGGGTGTGCCATCACCGCGCAGTATAGAAAGTAAGCAGATGGCTTCATTCCTTACAATCATTCAGAAAAATCCCGAGTTAGAGGTTTGCAATACCTGAATCTAAATTGGCAGAGACGTGTCAGTGCTCATCCTGCTGGAAAGATGAAACCATCATGGGGAGGAACCCCCTTTGTTACAGTGAATGTGTGCTGAGACAAAAACCCACCACATTGAGACTCTGAAATTTATAATCGAGATCCAGAGAGATGGGTGGGTTTTCACCCATCATTGGAAAAGGCAGATACTCCTCTGCTTCTTTCCTCTGATCCTCCGCAATCCATTGGCCTCATTTCATCCTTACCTAGCTTGAATGGCCATCCCGGTGCCATCAGGATTCACAGAATCCCAGGCTGGTTGGGGTTGGAAAGGGGTCCCTCTCATCCAAAAGGGTCCCTCTGGAGTCCCTCTGATCCAAGCCTGGCTCAGGCAGGGTCAGGTAGAGGAGGTCACCCAGGACCGTGTCCAGTTGGGTTTTAACATCTCCACAGGTGGAGACTCCACAACCTCTCTGGGTGACCTCTGCCAGTGTTTGACCACCCTCGTAGTAAAAATGTGTATTTTGTGTTCAGATGGAATTTCTCGTGTGGTGCCCGTGGCCCCCGGTCCCGTCCCTGGGCACCGCTGGAAGAGCCTGGCTCCTCTGCTTCATCCCCTCCCCGCAGGCACTGCCAGACATGGATTCCATCCCCCTGAGCTGCTCTGCTCCAGGCTGAGCCGTCCCAGCTCCCTCAGCCTTTCCCCACAGCAGAGATGCTCCAGGCCTTTGGCATCTCGCGGCCCCCTCGCTGGACTCTCTCCAGTCTGTCCGTGTCCCTCGTGGACTGGGGAGCCCGGCCCTGGGCCCAGCACTCCCAGTGGGGTGGGCTCACCAGTGCTGAGCAGAGGGGCAGGATCCCCTCCCTCAATCCAGATCTCATCATGATATCTTAAGATTAGAAATTGCACCCTCTGCTCTGATAAGGTTTATACCATCGGCTTTCATCATTATCCATTACACTTTTGCCTGTTGTTGCCACATAGATGGAGTGAATAAGGCTAGGGACTGGGTTGGGCTACACCCTACAAAAACTCTTGGGTGGGTGAAGAGTCGCTTTGTCACCTTTTGTGTGAAGAAGGGAGCTGTACAGTACAGATGTTTCCCCATTAGCTGCATCCTCGCGGGTTTTTAACATAGGAACTGGAGACCATAGGCAGGTGCAGAGCGAGCGGTGGGTGCTTAGGAGCAGCTCCTGGTCCTGCTGCCATCACCCTTGTCATCCACAGTGGAGCTGGCAGGGAGGAGCGTGCCAGTGACATACAGTCTCTGTTTAAATAACAGTTAAAGGTGCTGATGATACTGACTGGACGGCGCCATTTTAAATTATGCTCTTTTTCAACTCTATAGAATAAAGTGGTGGTTTCCGCCCTGACGGCGAGGTTACCTCAGAGCTGCCCTTTGTGCAAACGCACCTGTGCGCTGAGGAACATCAGCCCTCCATTGAGGGAGGCGCAGCACACCCAGTGAGAACAAAGGATAGCTTAAAGGCAAACAAACGGAAAATGCCGAGCCCCCCCGCGCACAGCACTCCACGCAAGCCGGGCTGAGGGAGGCTGAGGGAGTCGGCGGGCTGGCGCTGGCAGAGGGCTTGTGTGGAGAGACCCTGGGAGAGACCCTCTGCGCCAGGGCGCGGGAAGCTGCCGCCTGATTGGTGGGTGCGGGGTGGTTAGCACTTTCCTGATTGGCTAGTTCCCCACAGAGGCGGGCTGGCAGAGTGGGGCCTGGCATGGCTGGAGCTGAGGGGAGCTGGGCCTGATGTGGGGTGTTATGGGGGAGCTGGGCCTGATGTGGGGTGGGGGGGGGGGGC